ACCCATTCAAAACCAACTTTTGGAAGCCACAGACTGATATTCCAAATATGAAGCCTCTATCTTTCAGCGAAGTTACACTAAAACGGCAGAACCAATGAAATGGTTCTCAGATATGGAAACTTACTACCAATAATTCTACTACCACAACATTTACCAGATGATAAGAAAAAAATAATAATAATAAAAGAGACTAATATTGCCCACAGAACAGTTGCTGCTCAAAAAAAAAGAATTGAGATCGTAACAGAGTAAAACAATTAGCTTTACCACCAAAAGATAAGAAAAGGAACAGGCAATAAAGTGGCAGTGAAATAGATCAAAGATTATTAATACAGAAACAAAAATTGGAAATTCTACCTTGGCATCATTGCGGACAAACTGAATACCATGCCCTGGATATATTGTGGAAGAACAAAACCAACACTTCTCCAACCTCATCTTGTTCTCTAATTAATAAACCAATACAATTTCCTGAAAGAAAGAAAGAAAAAAAAAGAAAAGAAAAGAAAAGGTACAATCATAAAGGAGCAGAATTCCGAGTTGTAAGATCAATTTTAAGAACTCAAACGTGGCCTCAAGTGTTGAATCCAAGCACATGATTTAGGTTGTTTAATTTAATCCAAGGAAAACATACTTGTATCAGAACAACATACTCCTTGCTCACCTGGTATTGCCGGCTCGATGTGAACAGAGCACGAAGTGGAAGAGCAGCGGCCTTGCTTCCTTGCGAGACGAGGACGGACGGGGGAGCGGAAACGGCAGCAAATGAAACTTGAGAAGATCTATGGACAATGATGGAGCAAAGGTAGCGTCATCTACGGTGACGGTGAGAGACTGGGAGGCAGCGGTCGGCTAGTGCGCCGTGGTGTGGAGAAAGAGTATGCATAGGTTTCTAGTGGCGGCAATTAGGGATTTTTAGCTTCCTTTTTTGTAACATAAAGAGACTGGGCCATTAGTATTTTTTGAATGGGCTTCTGTCCAATTTCTAAAGCCCATTCGTATTTTTTCCATTAAATCTCACCAAAATTCAGATGTCTATACTCTCTCTCTCTCTCTCTAAATAATTGAAATAACTGGTTTTTTTTTTTTAAGTTGTACTAAATTAATTGTCAGTTTTTTTTAATGATAGGTAAATATTTTTATTATACTTTAATTTTATTATTATTTATCTATTTTACTTAATTGTTTTATTATAAAAAATTTAATTTAATTTTTATTTTTTAAAATAATATAAGTAAATATATAAAATATTTTTAAATTTTTAATTTAAAAAATAAAAAAATAATAATTATTTTAAGATAGAGAAAGTATAAAATAATGTAGTATCTCTATCAAATGTAAATTGATTTTAAAGTGTGTAAAAACTTATTTAAAAACAATTTAACTATATACAAAAAAAATTTATATTTACCTCGAAATTAAATTGATTCTAAACTTATACTTTTAAATATATATTTAATAATAAATTTTTTTTATAATTAATAAATTAATTATATATACTCATTTAATTTAAAAATTAATATACACAATTTATATAAATAAAAACATTAATCAAATAATTAATTTTTAAAAATATTCTTTAAATAATAATGTTTTTAAGTTGAAACTTTAATTTTTTAAAATCACATGATTTATATGCACTTTATCCTGATTAACATATATAATAGAGAGAAAATGTACATCAATTTTAATTTTTAAAAGAATTAAAACCCTAACCTTAATTCTATATTTAGGTTAGGGAAATTGTAGGGAATGGAATTATATCTTTTTATTTACTTTCATCTCTCTTCCCTTACTTTCTCTCATTTACATTTGGACAAAAAACTAAAATAAAAGAAAAAATAAAGTATATAAAAAAATTTTCCCTCTCATCTCTTTCTCTTAATTTCACTCAAGTCAAATATATTATAATTAATGTAGTTTAATTTAATTTAATTAAAATTTTAAAAATTTATTTTTAAATATTACATTTAGTTTTTAAATTTCAAATGCAAGTATTAACACTATATTATAAGGATATCTATTTATATATAAATTTTGTACATTATATTTATATAAAATTTTAATTTTTATTTTTTATTTTAAATAGTTAATATTTATTATGATTTTTTTTAAAAATAATTATTTTTAATAAATATAAATAAATTTTAACTATTAAAATTAAAAAAATAAATGACTAAAATCTTATATAAATATAATATGTAAAAATTATATATAAATAAATCCTTCCTCCTTATATACATATGTATGTATGTATTGATGCTTAACATTTCTCACATTCCGTAACCTTGTAATGTGTTTGATTAGTTGATGCCCAACCTCAAGATTGCAAAGCCTTGCCCCATCCATGAGGCCGAGGTTTGATTGGCAGTGTGTTTCATTAAAAACTTGTTAGTTGTTACAAATATAACGATAAAGTATGGCAAACATAAGATGGATAGCATATTATAAGAAAATATTGCTTGTTATATATTTTAATTTACAGTCATGATCTTGATTAAGGATCGTTGCTTGGGAACAAAATTAAAATTGAACAATCAAAATTATTTGAATGGAGCATCTACTGATATAAATGAGTAGATTCTTGTCACTACGAGTTAGACATGGTTGTACTTCAG